AGCTTGGTACAAAGCCAGAGCAGGTATCATGGTATCATTTTAATATATCTTCTTTAAAAATGATGGTATTGTCCTTTCCTTTCTCTAGAGGAAAATTTCTACTATTTCTGTTCCTTCCTACATTTAATTACTGTTTATTGGAGACATTGGACTCACTGCCTTGGAGACCTGAAAAACAAAGAAGTGAAGGATCTGGTGGGGAGCCTGTTACACCAAGTGAAATGGATTTTCTACCTCTGGTATTTTACAGTATTCTCCATGTCAATAAATTATTCACATCTGAAAGAGCTTTCAATAACAGGCAGAAGATGCAGGTATAAAGAAGAAAAAAAACTTTTGCAAAATTGCAAAACAGGTCAGCAGTAGAGAATAGGATGCATCTTTTGCCTGCTAGCCCAGGGGTTTGTTTATTTATTTTGGTTTTATTAACTTTCTTAGCTTCTGTTAAATCCAATCAATGACACAGCTTGGACTTGATTCATAATCTGCACTTCTCATTCTGTGCCATTCATCCTGCTGCTGCCAACCAGCTTATATTACAACTTCTGTCTCTTATCTTCTGGACGCGCATTTGACTCCCAGACTGTGCTTGGGTTACCCCACGCACCTTTTCATTAGCACCCTCCAACCACCCTTCTCCTCCAGATTCCCCTTTAAAAAAGATAAGAAAACACAGTGAAATGTCCCATGCTTCAAAAGCTGAAGCCATCTGATAAGAAATGGTGGCTTTTAGCTGGAAGTCACGCTGCATGCCAGTAGCCCTATCTCTGTAATTGCAGTCCTCTTCTTTTTATTACAGGGGATAACAGAAATTCAAGTAATGAGAAGTAGAGCAGACAGCCAACTGCTTGTAAACTATTTCCAGGCCGTTAAACCATTCAAATTTTCTGTTTTGAAAGCAAATTCCTTTAATCTTTGGACTTCCACATTTAGTTGGACTTTCAAAGATACCAGACCAAATGGAGTAAATGAAAGAAATGTGACAAGTATTCTCTTCCCGTGATGGGAAATGTATATTGAGATGCAGGAGTTTCTAATTCTGCTTGTAACCATGAAGTTACACTCATGTGTTCCAGAGCCAGCAGTGGAATAACATACAGTAAACTGAATCTTTCTCATGAAGATGGACACATAGCTGTTATCATTAGAAGAATGACAGCCACAGGAAGCCAAACTTTGTGTTAGTATATTTTATGGAATATTTACTTTCCAGAGTCTCTTTTTCAGTAGCCTTACTGCAACCAAGACAAGCAAAATTACTTGCTGTATGAATACACTTTTAACTTTCAAGCCATCCTATCCCCTAATAAGGAACGGAACATTACGCATTTTCTAATTTTATCCACTGGCTGTGTGGAATGGTCTCCAGTCCACATATGACTTTTTTGAAGAGTGTAATATATATCTAGAAATTTTGTATGATTGTTAGAATAGCAAACTGGAGCGGGAAATTCTTGTCCTGGAGATGCTGCCTTTTCTGATGCATAGTTAAGTCTTATCTCATCAAAAAGATTTCTTTTGGGGAAAGATGAAAGGTGTCTTTTTCTTGCTGTAAGTGCAGGATAATATTCAAATGTTCGGTTTTAGTTTTTTGAGATGTGACATGTCTGATAATTTAGAAGTCTGTATTTATCATCCCTGTAAAAGCTCCATAGTAATTCTTAAGTATCTATATTGCCTTTGAAAATAGGATTTACACGTGCTTTTCAGAATGCAACCTCAATAAATAGAAACAAATCCTTGCTTTACAGAGAGTGACAGAAGTTACGCACTTAGGGTCAGCTCTACAAAGGCAGTTAGGTACCTCTGTAGACTTCCAACAGTAGCAGTTCAAACTTGGAAGAGCTGAAGATTTAGCCACCAGTAGTTTGCTAGCTATGTGATTAGCATAATATTTTTTTCTTCCTTTATACTTGTTTCTGATTTTATGCAGTCACAGTGGGACTACTTGTTCTGGTGGCCGGAAACATAACTAAACATTGTGCTTCACTTGCATGTTTCATGCAAAATCTCTTTAACAAATGTTTAAATTGTCATTTGTAAAACCTGGCTGGCTGCTGGTAGTAATGAGAGACAAATATCATTCATTATCAGATTTTATTACACATTCCAAAAATACCAAAGTCATTCCTTTTTGTTGACCCAGTGCGGTAAAGAATTGGAATGAATCTGAGCCTGAGAAGCTTATGCCGGTTCCTTATGTAATACAGTATATTGCTGTAATTTACCCACAGTTACAGTGCTTACCTGTGTAATGGAAATATAAAATCCTGTAGAATCATAAACAGCATTTTAACTATCCCTTGTGGTGGCATATACTGCAACAATACCCACCTCTCCCACCCCCACCCCAATTCAATTACATGTGAAACTGTAGCTAGACCAAGTATTAAAAGAGTCTCCAAACTTAACACGTTGCAGCTTCACTAATGTGGTTGTGTATACATCATGTAGCAATACCCTATTGTCTTTTAGCTATTTCATCAGTCTTTGTTTTCACTATGCTTTCTGACATTATTATATTATTACTTTTAAACTATTTATTTTGTAGTGGCTACAATAAATACCTCATTTGCTTTCTGCTGGATATGAAGAACCAACAGTACTTGGTTTAAAATTGGATAGTTTATGTGTAAGGTGTTGTTCCTAAGGGTGATTGTGTGGATTTCACTAAAACTACTTGGAACTGATTGTTAAGAAAAAAACCTTGATTCTATTCAGAAGAGGTGTAGAAGACCTTATTTCTTACCATTCAGAATAGGGCTTAAATATTGCAATTGTTTTGGAATTAAAAAACAACCTATCTATTATTTTTCTTCTCAGTAATTTGGTTTTGAGGGAGTTATTGGGGTGGGTTTTCTTTTGATTACTCATTATTTATTATTCATTATAGGAACGACTTGGCCCTTCCTTGCCAGGCTGGTATTACCTCATCTTTACATCTTTGATGTCTTTGCTAGTCCTTTTACATAAGCAATGACAATAGTAAGTCATTTCTCTTCCACTGTCTGCTCAAGCAAGATGAAGATTGCTCCGCACTGAAAGAGATTACTAATGCAAACTCAGCCATCAATTCTGAGCTTAGTTATTCAAGTTCGTTGTTTTATGCATTTTCTTCTGCACAATAACATGGGCAGATTTATTTTTCTTGCTGTGTTTGGTGCCGTTAATTCATTTACACTTGTTTGTTGAGATTCCCTTTGCCGGCATGACAAGACCAACAATGGGCCACTCATCAAAATCCTGATGTCTCCTGACACTCGTTAGTGTTCTAGGAGGACTTGCCTCCTCTCTTTTGTCCTATGAATTAAACTGTCAATTTATCGAGCCAACAGTTTACAACCAGCCTGAAAATACTGAAGAAAATAAATTCTGCATGGTTTATAGACAGAATTATGGGTCATCTTGGATGACAGAACACTAAGCATTAGATTACTGGAATTTATTTTATTGCCACCTCTTCCCCCTGACTATTAAGAAGGGGTCTGCTTTTGCTTGACTTCCTTATCCTCCCAGGCTGTCTTCTGTTGCTCTCCCTACATACTGCTGAGCTGTCATTTGTAAGAGACAGCCGACATCTGTGCAGGTGGGATGAGTGGTCTGCTATACAGACCCTCGTCAGCACTTATGTGCCAGCCTGTGAGAGGACTCGCAGCAGTTATAGACAGTCCTTTTAACTCTAGAATAATGTCTTCTGGGGCTGTGTGAGCATTAGGCTGGTAATGTCGTTTTCAGTAATAAACAGAAAGCGAAGTTCTATTCACTTGCTCCTGAGAGCCCTGCCATCTGTCATTGTGTATAGATTTTCAGATTTGCTGGTGTGCTAATTAATCATATTGGGGTGCAAGAGTAACTTGCATTAGGCATCTCTGCAGGGAAATAAGGTAGGAGATAAAACTCACTCCAACATGCCTACCTGGTTAGCTTTGTTGCAAGGGACAGCTCACTGGAGATGCTTGCTGTGTCCCCTAGTGAGCAGGTGGCAAGTGGGAAGGCAAGGATGGGTTATGCATGGAGTTTCTCCTCAGCCTGCCCTGAAATCATGAATTGGCAGTTTTGAAAGGGAAAAAGCTTTATCTGTGCCAGACAAATTGCTGGTTGAAGCAACATCTACCATAAAACTTGGAGTTGATCTTAAAAAGGCTTTGCTGCAGCTCCACAGATGCACCGTGTCTGGACTTAGAGATGCCTACAGAGCTGAATACCACAGGGACATTGTAAAGGACATTGCAGCAAATACAGAGGGAAAAGCTTTCTATTCCCAGTATGTGTTGTATATGGTATGATGAGCACACAATGAAGAATGAAAAGCACATGCTGGAGAATATAAAATGTCTCCAGCTGCACATAAACTATATCTGAAGTGATCTGTGAAACTGGCCTATTTTAATGAATCTCAAGTATATCGACAGACAATATATTGGCACAATGTGATTGCAACAGTTCTAAAAATCATTTTAATGATGTAAAGCAGTAATATTTTTCACTAGTAATAAAACTATATTGGCTTCCTATAATTCATTTAATGGCAATTATACTAAAATACTTCCACTTGAAGAAACTATGTGTAAGAGCTTCACAGAAGTGGGAACAGTTGCCAGATATTTGCTTACACAAGCTATACCATCACAATGTAATCAAAGAAGTTGTTTTGCTATTTGCTATTAGTTCTGCTCGAATTTATGGTCTCCAAGCCACTGGCAAGATGTGGATGAATAATGCTAGCGTGAAGGCTGGGAAGGAACCTAAAATTCCTTATATTTCAAATTATTCTCCAAAGCATTCAAAATTGGATTCAATTGAATGAATTCCTGGAAAGAGAAAGTAATAGCTTGTCTCCATTTGTAACTGAGCCAGGCATAAAATACAAGCTTTACTGTTGCTTCCTACGCTGCTCAGGAATTCAAAAATATACCTGAATGATGAGCAGCTGAAGAAGTTTTGCCAGTACTGAAACTGAGTTATCTCTGCCTTGAATAATTTTTAATGTTTGACTCTGCAGAGATGCAGACATGGAATGAAAGGACTGGATTCCTCAGTCTCCTAAATTGGACCGGCTGTTGAATTGTCTCTTTTCCTGTAAATGGAATCCTGTAAATCTTCGGCCAGAAATGTCTCTGTAAGCTTCACATTTCTGTTGGTTGTAGTGTTTGCCATTATCGGTTGGTGGTGGTTGCTATTTTTTTTGCTCCCCCCTCTCCTAAGTTCCACCAAATCTGGACTTCCCAGAGCTGAGCAGTAAGGATGCACAAGGAAGATGGTGGGAGTTGAGGGAACCATAGAAAAAGTTCAGGTTGAGATGCTCAATTGCACATAATTATCTGTTGGTATCTAGCTATGTCACTCAAATCTGTTTGCCCAGAGCTTCAGTACAGGCCAGAAAATTCAGAAATGAGACAGGAACAGACCTCAGCTCTGAAACTTGAACTTTATCTGTCTTTTGTCTCAAGTAGTGGAAAACTGAGTTAAAAACTTTTAAACTTTTGCAAGACTCTTCTCTCTCCTCATTTAGAGAAGTAAAATCGGTTTTCACTTAGCATGAGGAGTTACTCCACTGTAATATCAAAGTCTGGGCATTATTTGGAATTGGAGAAAAATCATTTATGAAACCCTGCAGAAACATCTCAAATCAGATGATTTAAAAAAAAAAAGTAAAAATCGTTATAATTAGAAGAAGAAAAAAAAAAAAACACTTTCTATTTTAGTACTTTCCCATCCTGTTTAACTGAATAATAGAAATACAGCTGTAAGAAAAAATATATTTAAAAGAATGTTAACACTATTTAAAGGGCAATTTCATATCAGCTTGGATTAACAAGGCTGCCTTGTTTATACCTACCACATGATATGTATATATATATTACACCTACCTCTCTCTATTTAATTGCACTAAATCATAGCAAAGTGTTTTTAACTTTCTAGGAAGCCATGGCTAAAGTATCAAATGCCAAACTTTCTCACTTCAGTCATTCCACTTAGCGTTAGCTCCCAATTTATAGCAGTAAAGAAATGTTCTTAGCAGTTTAAAAAAAAAAAAAAAAAAGCGGGGGGAGGAGGAGGATCTTCCTAATATAAGCCAAGTTAAAATGAATAAGGTGGTAATCTTGTGATTCTTTTTCTCAGGGGGTTTCTAACTCAATGTCAGGCTACTTTTATGCAGTGCAGTGCAGCCCTCTGTAAAGCCGTCAAAGCTGAAAGTAGCCAACCTGAAACAATCAGCCATGCCATATTATTTCAGACTGAGTGCTTTGCTCTGCAGTTTCTGCAGCTCAAGTTAGTACATCTGTATGGCACCATGGAGTGTTGTGTATGGCTTGTTCAGAGCTAGTCCTAAGGATGTTCATAGAGTACTGTCTGCACCGTTTAGACTTGCAAGCTCTTTGCCAAGTGCCTACAGGCAAATGCAATTGCTAACCCAGGAGCTGGATCAGATCCATAGGTAATGTGTGCATGTGGTTCTGAAGGTGTTTTCAGAAGAAAATTCCAGGCAAATTCCAAGTTAACTTCTGACTGTATCTTGATTTGAAGCCTTGTGGAGAACAGAGCAGTGAAAAATGAATTGTGCTGGAGGATGGTGCTCCATCCTCTCTTTCCTTGCTTATGACATTTTTGTCATTATAAGTTTGCTTTCAGTAGAGCAATTCAGCTTCTAATTGCTAAATTAGTTGTCCTAGAACTTAACGCGCCTCATCCCTTGAGGTCATAATGTAACTTAGTATCATAAAAATGAAATATTGTATGCACAGACTAAAGAGCAAATGCACCAAGTGATTTATCTGAGAGAAGATGACACACAAATGTCTTGAAGATACAGAGCATGGTAAATACATGTAGTGTGCCAGTCTCTATTCATTGGCAGAATATGATAATGCTGGGCAGAGAAAGCTATAAGATGAAAGAGAGGAAAGAGAAAACAAGCATAGGAAATTACTGACTGTTAAAGGAAAGGTAATGGATACCATGCAACTCTGCAACTTCCCCTTTGCACATGTCAATGTAACATGGAGCAGTCTGTTCTTTTACTTCATCCCAGTAAGAGCAGTTTGTTTCATTTCTGTCTCTTAACATGTAGCATGCAACAATTTCCTGTCTGCAGGAAGGATACTAAAAATATGGAGAAATTCTTTATTGATTGCAAAAGTGGAATAAGTCTACGAATAGTTAGGCATCAGAATTCTCAAACTTTTCCATTGCAGGAAAATTCATGCTTAGAGAAAATGGCAAGAACAATTGTAGTCGCTAGTTGCCCTGTTTCAGGCAGCAACTCTCCTATTTCCACACTTCCAATAGAAAATGTGTGTTTTATTTATTTATTTATTTATTTTTTTGTAGTTATACCCTTTTAAATCAATCTGAGTGATCCTGCTGTGTTGGACATGTGCTGACCTTTTGTGTAAAAGAGTATCATGTCTGAAGCTTTATAATACATTTTTAAAAAAGAGTAATCTGTAAATGAGTCACTCTGCTTTTTATTTGTAGTCTATACTGTATCCTACGGATTGTTGCTGAACATTTCAAGCCATGCCTGCAAACCTGGTGCCTCCCCTCAGAACTGACAGCGGTTGAAAAGTCCAGGTGCCATTATTTTGTGGTTCAGTGCTCCACTTGAATTTAATTTTCATAAACAGATACAACAATTGCTTTGTGCTGAAGTATAGCAAAGGGATTACTTCATGGAATATTGGTCACAAGTAAATAAAAAGAGACCTATTTATAGATATTTGGGATAAAAGAAAAATATGTTCCACTTTGCTGTGTTCAAGCTTCAACAGAATGATTGACATTGATCTGAGGATCCCAAATTATATGTTTGGTCATAGTTTAGTTGTGCATTTTACAATAAAGACTATCGTAGGCCCTTCAATTGTACAGACTGTAAGACTTCAGGAGAAATCTGTGTTTACCAAAATAAAGTAAGTGTTAAGGGCAGGAGCTGGCATCATGTAAAGCCTGATCTGCATGGATTAAAAAATCTGTTATAAAAAACCTGGGAATATGTTACCATGAGGGAAACTCTTGGCAGCACAGATACAACCTGTGCTATTCTGCGATCTGAGAGCACAGGGGACTTGCTAGAGGTGTACATTTGTACTGTCTCTGCTGGCTGTCAAAACAGCCTTAGGGACTTGTTCCTGCCTTCCACTGAGGTACATCATCACACATGAAAGGTGGAAAGATGATTAAAGTTTGCTGCTATGGCAGTTATAAGGGACAAAATGTTTAGTTCTGAATTTCTGGCTGTGCTTGATAGTATGGAATGTAAAATCTGACTTGGAGACTGACTTGAAAATAGTTTTTGTTCTAAATGCAGTGGGTTAAGTAAGTTTGGCTACATGGCATGTATTTTGTGATGAGAGTCTGGATTTAAATTACTGAAACTAAGTTGCTAGCATAACTTTGTATGGTGTTCGTTGGCAAGAACTATTTTTTGTCAATGGCCTAGGTGTACCTGGACAGAACTACGTGTTCCAAAGAAGATGAGCTTTGTCAGAGGGGCTGTTCTGGCTATGAGGATCACTGTACCTCTCAAATACATCCAGTGTCATGTACTTCTATGAATTCTTCACCTGGAGCAAGGACCATGGGAGGCTGTGTGGGAATTTACACTTATCCAGCTGTCTAGTGATGTCAGTGCACTCATTTTTCTCTGTAAGGTTTTATGGGGCTTGGCAGATCTCTACTCAAAGTGGAAACTACATGGCATAGGAGCCACAAAATAGAGGAGTATACAACAGGAGACAAAGAGATGAGAAAACTGCTTTTAATCTTTTCATGCTAAGGTAAATTACCAGCTGAACCAAACACTCATTTGATCTACTTTAGTTCTTGTAATGCTGTATGAAATGGGTGAGCTGGGTGAATGCAAACTCCTCGCTAAAGATAGCACAGAGGCACAATTGCCACTGCTGGCAGAAAGGCAGAGGATTCGAACTTTAACAGAGGAACACGCTTGAATTTGGATTTTAAAATGGGCTAGGATCTGTCAGAAGAACTTGTCTCCCTTCTCTTTAGAAATCCTCAGAAGTATTACTTGTCTTCCATCTCTTCATAAATCCTCAGAATTAGGTCTCTTGAATGTATAAACTTCGGAATTTTGTCATTGGGGTGTCCTGGTTTCAGTTAGAACAGAATTAATTTTCTTCCTAGTAGCTGATGGAATGCTGTGTTTTGGCTTAGGATGAGAAGAGTGCTGATAACACCCCGATGTTTTAATTGTTGCAGAGCAGTGCTTATACCAAGCCAAGGACATCTCAGCCTTTTGCTCTGTCCTGCCAACGGGCAGGCTGGGGGTGCAGTAAGAGCTTGGAGGGGACAGACCCAGGACAGGTGACCCAAACTAGCCAAAGGGGTATTCCATACCATCTGACATCATGCTAAACAATATATAGGGGTGGCTAGCCGGGGGGAGGGGGCCGGACTGCTCGGAGTTAGGCTGGGCATCGGTCAGCGGGTGGTGAGCAATTGCATTGTGCATCACTTGTTTGTACATATTAGTAGTAGTAGTACTATTATCATTGTATTATTATTATTATTATTGTTATTGTTATTATTATTTTTTTATTATTTTTCTGTCTTATTAAACTGTCTTTATCTCAACTCACGGGCTTCACTTTCCCATTTCTCTCCCCCGTCCCAGAGAGGGAGGGGGAGGGTGGACGAACAGCTGCGTGGTGTTTAGCTGCTGGCCGGGTTAAACCACGACATAGGGGAAAAAAAAATGCATGCGACTGCTCATTTTATAAGCTATAACATGCAAAAATCAGCAAATACTGCACATATACAGGAAAGAGGAGAGAACTGTGAGACTTCAGGTACAGTTACACATGGGGAACTTGGCTTGCTCTTGACAACAGCAAGCTGTTTTGTTCTTACGTGGCTCTACCCTTATGGCTGACCAAAGTTCACGCTTCTTGTTTCAAAGCAGTTTCTGATCATGTTACAGATTTCCCACCTTGTCTGTTGTAGCTTCTGTAGCTGGCCTGGATGTCATTTTTGAAGTATTTCAAGACTGCCCTACTTTCAGGAAATGGTGTAGGAAATCATTTCCAAGGGGAAGTTACATGATAACTTGTCTGGGTGCAGGTTGCTTTTTTTCCTCTACCTTGAGGTTTGTAGACCATTCAGTGGCAGATGTACAATGACCATACATAGAATATTCAGGAATGTCTGTGACTAAGCATGCTGTGTCTTAGAGCCAGAGTACTCATACGATCATAAAATGGTTTGAGTTGGAATGGACTTGAAGATCATCTAGTTGCAACCCCCTGCTATAGGCAGGGACACCTTCCACTAGATCAGGTTGCTCAAAATCCCGGTTAGAAAATAGTCAATATAAAGTGATGAAAGCAATGATACTTGAGACTGGCTCAGAGTTCATTAATGATGTGAGCAAACATCTTTTTTTTTTTTTTTTTCTTTCCCCTTTCCTGCCCTAAGGACAAGAACAAAATAATCTTCAGATGCAAGATGTCAATTTTTTGGTTCCTTTCCACTGTGTGCTTGCCCACCTCCCATCTGCTCTCTGTCTTTACCCTGTACCAAATGCTGTCTTTGTATCCATACCAGGTTTGAGCAAACCTGGCAGCCTTACCAGGGACCTTTTTCATGGCAGGAACCAGCAGGAGGTAGATATTTGCTGCTTACAAATAACTTGCAAAAATTGTTCAATCCCACAGGGATTCAGTGGTAACATATTAGTTCACTGCACCTACTTCTTTCCCTAGCAAGAGGAAATAGGGTGGCAGAATCTGTATGTACAATGAAGGGACAATGTGTTAACGGGGGTGTTGGACTGCTAGAAGTAGCCAGGCACCACAGGGCCTGCCTTCAGACCACACCTTGTTGTAATTAAAGTGCCTGATCTTATGCATCACCATCAGAACAGCATTGAAAAGGCAAATGGGAAATCAGCACAGTTCCCAAATACCTCTAAATTATGCTGATTTATACCACTGATCTTTCTCTATAAGGATGAGCTTCCTTGTTCAGAGGGGAGCAGGTGATTTGATCCACTTTAGAAGTAGATTGCTTAAAATGTAGATAAATGTTTTGCTTTATGGTTTTGTTTTCTTATACTCCAGTGGGTTACTAGATGAGGTTTCAGATGGTTTCCATGGAACAACACTGCACAAAACAACAAAATTTCAATATTAACACTGCCCGCAATAAAAGTGTTTGGTTTCTCCCTTTCTCCTTTTCTGAATGTTTTGTTGATGCTGATGGGATTATGTAATCTGCACACTTCAGTGCTGTCATAATTTGTTCTGTTAATCTGTCATGAATCGCAACTGATGAGTGTATGTGCAGATTCTTGAACCAGCCCTACAGCATCTGTGAAAGTCAATAAGAGATTTGTCTTTTAAATTTTATTCTTGTAATTCTCAACTTTTTAGCAGTCCCATCCAGATCATACAAATCAAACGTTGCAAGGTTGGAAGAGAGTTCATGGAACAGAGATCAGTTGCACTATCAAGCAATCCCATTTGCTTTGCTATATCCCAAACAATGGCAGTTTTCTTAGTGTTCTTTTTTGTTTTAAAGATGTTATCTGCAGCATCAACATCTCAGGTGACTTTTTATTTTAAATAACATCTTTTTTTTTTTTCCTTCATTCTATACAAAGAACTTCATCTTTTTTTAAAACTTTTTATTATTTTTATTTCATTTTTTCAACAGTGCTTTTTTTCCATGAAGCCAGTTTGTATCAAGAAAGAAAGAAACAGTTCTGTGTGAGTCCAAAGTTGACTTGTCTTAATATGTTTCAGGTTTATATGTGATATTTAAAAAATGAAATACTGTTGGAAATAGTAAGTGGGCTGTTGGTAACAACCATTTTTAAATAGACGAAAATCTCTTAATTTCTCTAGCAACAAAAAGCTTCATTCTGAGCATGTGCAAACTTTACATCAGTATAATCTTGGTGGATTTCTGTTTTGTACATCAGGAATAAGTCTAATGTTGGATAAAGTCCCCAGCATTACATCCTGGGAAGCAATTTCCCCCTCTGTAAAATGTGAAAAAATCAGACTAACACTTTAGTGTTTCTCCATGTTCCCTTTCTTGAAATCACTATACCAGACATAGAAATGTCCTAGAACAAAATCAAGCCTGATATAACTGTGCTTGTGTATATATAATGCAAGTTCGGCAATAATCAAGTTTAAAGCTAATTCCTTTTTTTTTTTTTTTTTTTTTTTTTTTTTTTTGCGTGTGTGTGTGTGTCTATTTGGCTATTATACAGATTCTTTTTTTGTGGTTAGTAGTGAACATGTTTGGCTGGAAGGGGAAGTGTTACAGAGTGCCCAACCAGACTGTGGCAATCCACACAAGCAAACTACTTGCCTACAGACAGGAGGATGTAATTTTCTGTTGTGAGTTTCCATTAAGGATAGAAAAAATGCTACCCAAAGTAGGTGCCTGACCACTAAAGTTATGCAGACTAAAGCAGTATGGATGAGAGTATATATGCCAAAGAAATTTGGCTGCCTTCTTTCTGAAAAGGAAATTAATGGTGTTAAAGATGCACAGTACTTGTGCTCTAACCTGATATGAGAGGAACTGGTTGAGAAATACTGTTGATGTTGCAGGTTGGATTTTTTTTTGTTTGTTTTTGTTTTTAGGTGTGCTTGATGCATGGCTAGGGAGCAGGACAGTGGTGTCCTCCAGGCTAGTTCATGCCACCTGGAACTTCTAATAGCTGCTCTGTCTAAATGATGTCTGACTACTGTAGCAGCCAAATGGGATGTAGAGATGTCTCAGCTATGAATCCTTGCTGTTAGGCCTATCCACCTCTTTTATAGGACAGAA